GCGTCTGTGCGTCTGTACGTCTGTGCGTCTGTGCGTCTGTGCGTCTGTGCGTCTGTGCGTCTATGCGTCTGTGCGTCTGTGCGTCTGTGCGTCTGTGCGTCTGTGCGCCTGTGCGTCTGTGCGTCTGTGCGTCTGTGCGTCTGTGCGTCTGTGCGTCCGTGTGTATGTGTGTCCGTGTGTCCGTGTGTCTGTGTGTCTGTGTGTGTCTGTGTGTCTTATAACTCATGAACCGATACAAAGAAAAACACCAAATTTTAAACTTAAGCTTTGTTCCAGCGTCCAATGTGCTGATTAGATTTTGGGCAGTGTCGAAACATCTGGGGGGTACTTTATAGGTGGTCATTTTTATATTTTATGGAATATATCTGTTATTTACGTTTGGGGAAGAAAATTCTTTAAATAAAAGTTACTTCTTATATTATTATCTATAATTTTTGTTCTATACAAAATTTTCCTAAAATGGTCCGTATTCGAGAAATTTGACAAAATGTAAAAAAATATTTTTTTATAAAAATAAAAAGTTGTTTGTAATATAATTCTCTATAATTTTGATTCTATACATAATTTCTCTAAAATGGACCGTATTCGAGATATTTGAGAAAATGTGTAAATTTCGAAATTTGAAGAAAACTCAAAAACTGATAAAGAAAAATACATTAAATTTTAAACTTAAGTTTTATTTCGGCCTGACGTGAAATGATTAGATTTTGGACAAAGTCGGAACATGTGGGGGGGGTACTTTATGGGGGACCGTTTTTATATTTTAGGGAATATATCTGTTATTTATGTTTGGAGAAAAAAATTGTTCAAATAAAAGTTATTTCTAATATTATTATCTATAATTTGTCAAAATTTCCTGAAATGGTCCGTATTCGAGAAATTTGACAAAATGTGCAAAATTCTGATTTTAATGAAAATTGTTGAAATAAAAGTTGTTTGCGATGTCGATCTCTATAATTTTTGTTTATACATGATTTTTCTAAAATGGACCGTAATGGAAAAATTGTAGGAAAAGTGCTAAATTTAAATTTTTCAGTATTTTCATTTTCAACGAATATCTATAGAAAAATTTTTCGAGGTAGATGTATGTGGAAAATGAATATATTTATTTTATCCTCTGAACATTTATGGAGGTGCTGCAATAGGTTGTACAAAATAACCGGAAAAAGCCTGTAATAACTAGATAGGAAAGTCATGTGTTGGACACATCAGATTTTTATAAGTAGGTACTATACTACGAGTTTCAAATAATCGACAGTGGGAAAATTTTAGAAATATCTGTATACCTACAGGGTGTAACTAAATAAGTGTAAAACATTTAAGGGGGTGATTCCTCATCGAAAAAAAGATAGGATCTTTCATATAAAGAAACTTCATTGGAGCATCCCTTGTTAAGATACAGCACCTTAAAGGGGGTACATAAAATTTGTTTAACAAGCACTAAACAAGTTACAATATTGAAATTAACCTGTCATTTTCTACTACCAAAAAGACACTTAGCCAGTAATTTATTTGGTTTACGCCATGGTTATAAGGGGTGGAAAACGCAACCCCTAAAATTTCGTTCCAACGTAACTTTTTGTGTTATTATTTGTTTACCATTTAAAATTTTATTTCCGATAGCCTGTTTCATTCTTAACAAAAGCAAAAAATTATTTTATGAACAACTACAGAGATACATCGTCATAAATGCGAACTGGATTTATTGTTATTTTGTAGTTACTACCTGCATTAAATGATTAAAAAGGGAAATAATCAAAACTAATTTATTAATACCAAAACATACAACATGTAGAAATTATAGTAAATGTTCAATATGTCTACTTTCAGACATTACGCATGCGTCTAGACGTTGGCGCATTGAGCCACGTATTCGCTCAAATAATCCTGGAGTCTCTCTAATTACTTTGCATGCATCGATGATGCGGTTTCTTAAGTCCTCTACATCGCGAACAGGAGTACGATAAACTAAATGCTGCAAATGGCCCCAAGTAGAGAAATCGAACGGATTGAGATCCGGGGATCGAGCGGGCCAATTCTGTGGACCTCCTCGACCTATCCACTGATTTGCATATGTTTCAGTTAAATGCTGACGTGCTACTTGACTAAAATGGGCGGGTGCCTTATCATGCTTAAAAAAATATCCCTTCTGACGCCCAAAGGAACTTCCTCCAGCAGTACGGGACGCACTTCTTTAAAAAATTGAACGTATGCCTCACCATTTAATCGAGGAGGTATCACCAATAACTCCGGCCCACACGTTAAGAGAAAAGTGTTCTTAATGGTGAGTTTCGACAATAGCGTGAGGGTTTTCATCAGCCCATATGTGGTAATTATGAAAATTAATAATCTTGTCCCGAGAAAAACTACATTCGTCTGTGAAAGTCACGATTTCTTCTAATCATTTCCAGCATCCAATTGCAAAATTCAAGACGGTTCGGAAAGTCTCGCGGCAACAGTGCCTGTACTCGTTGCAGATGGTAAGGGTATAAGAGATGTTCCTTTAAAATTCGAAATACCGTCATATGATCAACATTTAGCTGGAAAGCAATCTTTCTAGTACTGGTAGTAGGTTGTTCTTTAATAAAATTAAGTAGTGCTTCCTCAAGCTGTGGTGTTCTTACTTCTCGATGGCGACCACAATCGTGCGTTCTTTTGTTGAATGAACCATATTCTCGTAATCGTTGATGAAGTCTGGCAAATATTCTATGTGAAGGATGCTGCCGTTGAGAATACATTTCAGCATATCTTCTAGAAGTTTCTACGCCATTTTTCTGCAAAAGACCGTAAACGTAATGCATATCAGCCATTTCCTCATTTGTGTATGCCATTTTAATAACAAGTGAATTATTAATGTAACAAATTACGAACAGAACAACAATACACAATTAGTATTACTTCAATTTCAAAAATTTACAAACTGACAGCTTGATTTCAATGTAATTGTCAGTATCGCTAATAGCGGCCTACTAGATAAATTAGTTTCGTATTTTCGTTTTATGGCGATATCTATCTTGTTCGTAAAATAATTTTTTGCTGCGAACTGGTTTATTTTGGGCAAAAAATTTTTGTTTAGAATAAAACAGGCTATCGGAAATAAATTTTTAAATGGTAAACAAATAAGACAAAAAGCTACGTTGGAACGAAATTTTAGGGCTTGCGTTTTCCACCCCTTACAACCATGGGGTAAACCAAATAAATTACTGGCTAAGTGTCTTTTTGATAGTAGAAAATGTCAGGTTAATTTCAATATTGTAACTTATTTAGTGCTTGTGAAAAAAATTGTTAAACAAATTTTATGTACCCCCTTTAAGGGGCTGTATCTTAACAAGGGATGCTCCAATGAAGTTTCTTTATATGAAAGATCCTATCTTTTTTTCGATGAGGAATCACCCACTTTAATGTTTTACACTTATTTAGTTACACCCTGTATACCGAAAGAAGAATTTTTTCATTATAAAAATTATGCAATAATATGTTTAAAATACATAATTGTTACTAAACACTATAATGCATCATGCTTAAGATTGTTTCACTATTTGTCTAGAATACTTTTTTAGGTACCTTATTTGAATCTAAGAACATAAAAAACTTAATAATATATTATATATAATATATTCACATTAACTACACGTTTAGGTCACCTGCTAGGGGTTGATCGGTTTGTTACATATTGGCATGTCTCTGGAAATTAATTTTTTCTCGCATATTGGCCATGCAATAAAACTGGCACGTTTGAGTCACACTCCATATAAAAAATACAACGTCCGTCGATAATATTTAGTTTGCAGAGGCAATAATCACATGTGAGTTCAGTTAGTTAATTGATTGGTTTATGATCAGTAGCGTCTCGCCGGAAAATTGAATAAAAATATGTTAATTCCTGGTAACTTATTGTAATTATTGTTTTCTTCTGAATTTTTGTTTAACAGTCATTTAAAAATAAATAAATCAGAAGTTACCCAGCTCTAGCAACCTTTTTGCGAAACGGCATCATTTTTGGAGAGGAATTTAATAAAATAACATTTGCGAATATTTTTCATATTATACAGTAGGCAGTAAAATTTTGCGGGAAAGTTTTGACTGTATGAAGAAAAACAGGGACGTACACAAATAATTATTTTAGACGATTACGTTAAATACGCGATCCGATAATTTTTTTTTTTTCTAAAAACCCTAATGTGAATAAAAACATTGCCAAGTTACAGAAAAATGATTTGTCTTAAGACGTACACTACGTCAAATGCATTTTTATTATTTTAAGAGAAAACGTCATAGTGCACTATTGGAAAAATATAAAATCATTGGTTGGCGTAGAAAATATTTAAAGAAAATTCGTAGATATCGCAATGAGTGGAAAAAATTTATTATTTGGCCTAAACTTGAGTTAATCAAGGGCATATAGTTACAAAAGTTTGGAAATATTTAGAAATTAAAAATCAGAGAATAGCCTTATTTTTACAAATGTATATATGAATTGTAACAGCGAAGCAGAGGAGAATGAGGTAAATTTTGAAATAATGAATTGCATGTTGATTAGGCCTACTGGGGAGACCACGATAAAAAAACGTGCAGCTTGCTCTATCTCAAGATGTTGTGAACATGAGTTTTTTGCTCAAAACGCGTCTTGATCTATGCTTTGAGGCGCTTGTACGCCAAAACTAAAGATTTTACAAAAAAAAAGGTAATACATAAATTGTAAGAAATTCTCTATAGTTTCATTTTGTATATAAATGTTTTTATAGTTAAATGAGTCGGAAAGGAAATATTGTCAAAACACTTATTTTAGGCACCATTTGTTGAATAAAGCGTCGCTAGCGGGAAAGATACGAGGTGGCAATGTTAAAATTCCACTGTATATTATTTTGAAATCATAGTGTATTACTCCACAAAGATTTTTATATTATTTCAGTGACATTATACTATTTAATTTTTTCTAAATATATAAATTTAATGGTTATAGTGGCAAATACATTTTTATTTATTTATTTTTTTTTCAGAAAATGGTCTTCCAAGGAGACTCAGGACAGCCTATACCAATACACAATTACTAGAATTAGAAAAAGAATTCCATTTCAACAAATATCTGTGTCGGCCGAGGCGAATTGAGATCGCTGCATCGTTAGATCTAACCGAACGACAGGTAATTTTAATTGATATTAATGATTTGCCAATTTCTAATCTACTCTAAAAGCCGAATAACTACTAGATATCTTACCTGAGTCTGGAAAGTCATTAACCTTGACTGAGAATCATTATTCGAATGAGACAGACCACTTGGTCCTAAATTTGAAAATTGATGTACCTACCTATTTAAAATAGTAAATTGTTCTTCAATAAAAGATTCCTTTTGTAGGTTTTCTACTCATTCAAAAATACGTGAAAAATTGTCAGTTTAGAAAGATTTTTTTGTATAAGAGAACTGAAATAATTCATTGAGTAAACAGTTGTTCTTGTTTAGGTTAAATTCTATTTATACAATTTTTTGTTTAATTTTAGATATAAAAATAAAAAGGCTTCTTTGTGTTTTTTATTGTTTTTTATTGTCAGGTTCCAATTTCTGAATAATCAGTATCAGCTAGCGTGGAAGAAAGTTTGGATTTTATTCTTAGAAAGTTTCTTACATTTAGAAATAATAATATGACGTTTTTTTTTTTGAATAAATATATTTTGACAAGTATTAATCTACTGTTAACTAAATATCACATTCAACAAAACTTTGTTCATTTTGCACTCTTCATCAGTCCTCCTCCTTAATTTTCTTCTTTGATGCCTATCATTTGATCTAAATGTCGTCGGTACTGTCTACCATTATCTAATAAGGCTTCGTAATGTTGTTCTCCTAGTTTCTTTTAGACCATTTAGATTTTCCTCCATATTTGCGGACTTGTACTTTCTCCCCCTCCTTAAATGTTCTTATTTTTTGTTTTTTGTCTTTTGGACCATACTGATCTATTATATTGGTTAATAGATCTAATCTCGTTTTAATTTTTCTACCAAACATTGAGTTATAAGCACTTTCCCCTGCATTCTGAACTTTTCGGAGTTACATAAAAATTCTGCATATCTTCACTTCTGTCTCCAATTTTTCATTTTCTGAAGCCTGTAGAGCCCGCTTGATTGCCTGAACAAGTCTTTTCCCTTGTTCATTTGTCACAGGGTGGTAAGGGGCCGACGTTTTATGCTGTATTCCATTTGTTTTTAAAAAAATTCAAACATATCCGAAGTAAATTGTGGTCCATTGTCAGATACCAGTGTAATGGGTAAACCAAATGTTGTAAATAACTGTCTAAGTTGTTTTATGCACCAATTTGTAGTTGTTATTTTTGTCGGAATTGCTTCAATCCATCTTGTATATGCATCCACTTCAATAAAGGGTGATGTTTCTTTAATAGGTCCTGCAAAGCCAATGTGCACACGTTGCCATGGTTCTTGAGGCAACTCCCTTGAAAGAATTTTAGTTTTAGGTAGTTCATTTGTTTTTTCACAACATTGCTTACAATATGAACTTACCAGATTTTCTGTCTTTGTCCACATTTCGCCAATAGCAATAGCTTCTGGCGAGTGTTTTCATTTTAGTCATGCCAATATGTCCAATATGTAGTTCTTTTAATACTTCACATCGCAATGTTTTAGGTATCATTACTTTAGCTCCATGAAAAATATACTTATCTTGCAGCGTCAACTCATTTTATTCATAGCCTAGTTCTTTTAAACTCTCCCCATTTTGTAGTTTAGGTAGTAAATATTTTCTCTTGCTATATCCTTAATTGCAATTGGTCAAGTTATAATCTGGTTTAAGTGAAAAATTTTGTACTAATCTTTAAAATTGATGATACGTTCTTTATCTGGAAATCTGGACAAAAAATCTGTATTGGCATGCTCTGTTGAAGGGCGAAATTGTATATCGTAATTAAAACCATATAAAAAGTACATAATAAAATAGTCTTGTTGCTCTCATTGTAGGTAAATTCTTAGTTGGATTGAAAATTGATACTAATGGCTTATGGTCAGTTACTAGTGTGAATTTTTGACCATAACAGTATGGATAGAACTTTTTTAGTGCTCAATATATACCCGTTGCCTCTTTGTCTATTTGGCTGTATTTCTGTTTACTCTTAGTTACTGTTCTAGAAGCAAAACATTGGTTTCTCGGTACTAACTGGAAATTTATGTGAGAGTACAGCTCCCAGTCCAACTGGTGACGCATCACTTGCAATAATCAGTGGCAACTGTGGACAATAATGTGCTAATGTATGATCGCTTGCTATTTCTGCTTTGATTATGTTGAAACTTCTTTCACATTTATCTGACCAGTCATATTTTGCTGTTTTCTTTAAAATATTATTTAGGGGGCGTCCATTAATTACGTGAGGTATTTTTGAGGATTTTTTGACCCCCTCTCCCCCCCCGGTGAGATTTCGTAAGATTTTCCTCAACTCCCTCCCCCTCCCCTAATCTCTCGTGAGATTTTTCAAAATTTGTGTTTTGGGTGTAAATGCGTTGGATTATTAAAAAAACAAACACAATATGTTTTATTACTTTTATTTAAGACTAGAAATTTCTAGAAACATTCTTTACTTTAATTTAATTTTCACGAAATTTTACAACGTTTTCTACTAGAAAAAAAATACGTCAGATTTACAAAGACCCCCCCTCTCCCCCAAGTGAGATTTGGAAAGATTTAGCTTGATCCCCTCCCCCCCCTTGAACACCTCACGTAATTAATGGACGCTCCCTTATTAATGACTTAACTTTGTCATCGGTTTTATGTAACCCCATCTTCATATATTATACTTTAAAAAAAAAAAATAAATTTTCTTTATTCAACTTCATATTGTGCATTCTTAAAATATCTAGTACTTGTTGTAGTCTTAGTAATGTAACATCATAAGTAGGGCCTTGAATTATTATGTCATCCAGGAAACATTGTACTTCTTCCAATCTGCCTAGGATTTTATTCATGTACTTCTGCCACAAACCTGGTGCAATTTTAACTCCAAACATTAGACGGTTGACCCTATACAGTCCTTTGTGGCTACTGATTGTTTGCAATAGAGCACTTTATTCATCCATACCCATTTGTAAGTAGGCCTGTTTTAAGTCCAAAGTACAGAAGAAGTTACCTCCATTCATTTATTTAAAAATGTCCTCTATTCCGGGCACCTATTTGATGTTTTTCATCTTGAATACATCTATTGAGCTTGACTTTGTAGTCTGCACACAATCTTACACTTCCATTAGGCTTAAGTATGGGAACAATTGGCAGGGCCGCCGACAGCCAGGCCGGGCCCCAGGACAATTCTCCAGATCGGGCCCCGTGACAAAAAAAAGCTTTTTAAACACTTTTCCTCCTCTACTTCAATTAAATTTTCTATAAAAAAAAGAAGGTCATCAGACAAATAACTTTTTCTCCTCCCGTCTTGTGCCGAACTTCTGATAGAAAACAACAAAAATCCGGTTGTCGGACCCCCTTATACCGCTGCCAGGCCCCCCTTATACGGCTGCCGGGCCCTCATTTCAGTCCGGGCCCAGGGAATTTGTCCCGGCTGCCCCCCCCTCTAGTCGGTCCTGACAATTGGAGTACCCCAGTCAGATTTTTTTATTTTTTTTATTATTTTCAATTTGGTTAACCGGTCTAATTCTTCTTTTACTTTATTTAACAATGCATATAGAATTGCAAAAACACCCCTACATACGGGTGCAATTTTAGGGTGTTTTTTGAAATTTTAGGGGTGATTCAACCATTGCTCCATGTTTTAACCCCGATTTTCGTAATCAGCGCCCCAAAAAACATATAAGATGGCTTAGTTTGCAAAACAAGAAGTACAATCGAAAAAAAACCCTACTTTGGGGTATTTTTTGCAATTTTAGGGGTGTTCCAACCATTGCTGCTAGTTTTAACCCATATTTTTGTAATCAGCGCCCCAAAATACGTAGGGGACAAGTGGTCTCGTCAAGTGCGGCGTTTCTCGACCTTTTACCGTTATTTTAAATGGACTAATAGAACATTTGCTAAAGATACGTTGCTCTTACTCTGAATGGTTTGGATAGTTTTAATTTCACTCAAATTTATTCTGGATTCCCGAATCCATTCCCTTCCAAATATAAGGTCGACCTGAGCTTTGATGATGTATAGTTTCTCAAGGAATGTCTCATTGTCAATTGAATATTGGACATATACATAACCAAATGGAATAATTCTTTCTCCTGTATATATAACTAAGTTAATCGTTGTTTTAAAAATTCGTTTAGTTAGTTGTAATTTGATAAAATCACTATACGAGATTGTAGACAAAGCAGCTCCTGTATCTAATTCCATTTTGATTCGTCTTCCCTCAATGTTGACTGTTACTATAAATTTATCATTTGCGGACAATGTTAATATATTAATTTCTGCATTAACTTCATTGTCAGATTGACCCGCTTCTACAAGGTCTCTTCTATTCCGTTTTTGTAAACAACTTTTGAAATATGTCCCATTTTTTTACAAAAAAACACAAATTTTGTCCTTGTGGTAGCAGGTATCTGCGTTATGGCGCTTATCTCCACATCTGTAACACTGATCATTTGGTAAACTCCACATTTTATTTCTATTAGTACTTTGGTGTAGTTGATCTTTCCCCCATTTTATATGACTTCCTGTATATTACATATCATATCCACTCTTGTTACATAAACTACTATTATAGTTTGGATAGAAGGAAATTCTTGTGGTAAAATATTCCGTTAATGCTGGTTTTCTTCGGTAAACGGATTTATTCTATCAATTATAAATTTTACCATTTTCTGAAATGATATTTCAGTCCAATTTTTCTTGTCTAATACTCATGATAGGTTTTTAATTCATAATAATTATTTTCATTTTCCTCAAAAAAATCTTTTCTCTTTAAAGGTTATTTATTGCTAAAATTTCGAGGTATACAAGATCCCAAGTAGCTACAAAATCTTTTTTTATAAGTAGATCCAATTATTCCTGATAAACTTTTTCTAGGTCTATATATTGTGTGCTCCAGTGCTTGATCTGTACCAATAATTGGCTCCCAATAATTGACTGACAAAATCATTCCCTTCCTTAAATTTAGAAAGGAGTTCTGGAAAGGTTTCTTCTTATAGCAACATGTCGCAATTAATTAACATGCT